GCGGGGCCGTGACGTCTTGTGTTCAAACTCCCGTTCCGCCCCTCACAGACTTCTACAGTGTCTGGAGGGAGCAGGGCTCACTGACAGATATTTGGCTGGAGAAAACTTTGCGCAGGGGTTACGCACTGCAATTTTTCCGAAAGCCACCACCATTCCGAGGCGTACGGGCAGTACGCTCTCAGGTACGGGGATCAATAGAGGCACTGCAGGCGGAGGTCTCCTCTCTGCTGAGTCGAGGCGCAGCAGTGGAGGTAGACCCGCAGGACGCCACCAGGGGGCTGTACTCCCCTTACTTCTTAGTGCCAAAGAAATCAGGCGGGGTGCGTCCCATTCTGGATCTGCGCGTGTTAAACGAGTGCATTTCCAAACGGCAGTTTCGGATGCTGTCCACAAGGCAGCTCCTCGAGTGTGTCAGGGAAGGAGACTGGATGACATCCATAGACCTGACAGATGCGTACTTCCACGTGCCCATAGTCCCAGAACACAGAAGGTTTCTGCGCTTCGCAGTGGGAGAGAGGAATTACGAGTACTGCCGTCTACCCTTCGGGTACGCACTCGCGCCTCGGACTTTTTCCAAATGTGTGGAAGCAGCTCTGGAGCCCATCAGACGCGCGGGGGTAAGAATATTAACCTACATAGACGATTGGTTAATACTCGCCTCATCCAGAGAAGTGGCCGTGAGCCACACGCACTGGGTCCTGTCCCACATACAGCGTCTGGGCTTTGTGGTGAACAGGGAGAAGAGCAAGCTGCAGCCAGCCCAACGCATGATTTATCTCGGCCTGCAGCTAGACTCGGTGACATTCCGTGCTGCATTGTCCGTGGACAGACGGATGAATATTACCCGTCTGGCCCGGGAGGCTCTGGCGGGCCCCAGAGTCCCCGCTCGGCGCCTCAGGTCCCTGCTGGGAATGATGGCGGCGGCTCATGCTGTGGTGCGGCTAGGCCTGCTCCACATGAGAAATTTTCAGAGGTGGTTCTCGCGCCTCAGGCTTCACCCCTCCCGGGACGGGGGGAGGCTAATCTGGGTTCCCCAACTGGCAGCAGCGGACATCAGGTTCTGGCTCACTCCGGGTCTTTTGCGGGACGGAGTGACTCTGGCCTGCGCCGTGTCTCACGTCGAGGTGTTCACGGACGCGTCGCTCGAAGGATGGGGCGGGGTCCTCGGCCAGAGCTCTGTAGGAGACTGCTGGTCGGACTCAGCCCGTCACATCAACCTGCTGGAGATGGAGGCAGTGCACAGGGTACTGCTGCACTTTGCTCCTCAGCTGCAGGGGAGACACGTGATGGTGTGCTCAGACAACACCACAGTGGTCTCCTATCTGAACAGGCAGGGGGGCACCAGGTCCCCCGCTCTCCATCGCATGGCGACGGTGACGCTGCTGTGGGCGGCGCTTCACCTCCTGTCTCTCAGGGCGCGCCACGTCCCGGGGGTCCGGAACGTGGGAGCCGACAGGATGTCCAGGGGGGGCCCACTCCAGGACGAGTGGGGCCTGGCCCCACGGGTAGCTGCGGAGGTTTGGCGAAGGTTCGGCCGTCCAGTGGTCGACCTTTTCGCCAGTGCAGAGAACGCACAGTGCCCGTCCTGGTTCGCCTTAAGGGCCGCGGACGAGCCGCCTTTAGGCGTGGACGCTCTGGCTCATTACCCATGGCCAGGCGGCCTGTTGTATGCTTTCCCACCGGTGCGTCTCCTGCCGGTCCTGCTGCGGAGGATCGAACAGGAGAGGAGATCGGTGATTCTGGTGGCTCCGGACAGTCCGCATGCCCGGTGGTTCCCCTTCCTGAGGGGCATGGCGGTGATGGAGCCCTGGGCCCTCCCGGACGAGCCGGGGGCTCTAGTCCAGGGGGCAGGAGCCCTGTTTTCACGCCCGATAATCGGCCGCAGGCTCTGGGCTTGGAGGCTGAGAGGCGGAGCCTCGTAGACCTGGGTCTTCCCCCTGCGGTGGTGGAGACCATTCAGGGAGCGAGGGCACCATCCACTGTGAGGGCCTACGCCACGAGGTGGAGGCTATTCAGTGTCTGGTGCGATTCCCGTTCCTGGGATCCCAGGTGTTGCCCGCTGGAGGGGGTCCTGGGATTCCTACAGGAGCTCTTTGACAAGGGGAGGGCTGTCGCTACCTTGGCGGTGTTCGCGGCAGCCATTACTTCGGGTCACGACGGATTCGGGGGGTTCACAGCCCGTTCTCATCCGTTGATAAAACGTTTTCTGCGGGGGGCGCGCAGGAGGAGGCCCCCCATCCAGAGAACGCCCCCGATTTGGGACCTCAGGGTGGTCCTTAGGGGGCTGTCGGATCCGCCTTTTGAACCGGCGGCGGAGGCGAGTCCCGAGTGTATCGCTTTTAAGACGGCCCTCTTGCTGGCGTTGGCGTCTGCTAAGAGGGCGGGCGATTTGTGTGCGCTCTCTGTCCATGCATCTTGCCTGTCCTTTGGAGAGGACGACGGCATGGTGGAATTGTGGCCCAATCCGGCCTTTCTCCCCAAGGTCATCACGTCGGCCTTTAGGTCGAGGGTCATCAGGATTAGGGCTTTTCATCCGCCGCCGCATGCCTCCCCCGAGGACTAGCGGCAGCACCTTCTGTGTCCGGTCAGAATGCTGAGGCATTACCTGACCATGACGTCGTCATTCAGGTCAGGTGATCAGCTGTTTGTGTGTCTGGGCCCCAAGAACAGGGGCGCCCCGCTGTCAGCTCAGCGGCTGGCGCATTGGGTCGCCACGGCTGTGCGGCGGGCGTATCAGACGCAGGGTCTGGCCCCCCCGGTGGGTTTCAGGTCGCATTCCACGCGTGGGATGGCGGCCTCTACGGCCCTTCTCAGGGGGGCGTCGGTCGAGGACGTCTGCCGTGCGGCTTCGTGGGCGTCGTCCTCCTCTTTCGTCCGGTCTTATCTTTCGGATGTGTCGGACCGGTCGGTGGCCCATTCCGTGCTGAGTGCAGCGGTCTGAGTTAGACCGTTGGGTCCCTCCCCTGAGGGGGCCTTCGGTCTGTTCCGCCCTGGTGCAGGAGCTCTTGGGAGAGGCATCCTACAGGTGCGGTACATTTTTGTGTGTTTGGTAGGTCTGGTAGTCCACGTCAGGAGCTCTTGGGAGAGGCGTCCTGTGTCTACGGATGACCTACGGCTTGTGTTACGTGGGGGTATCCTTGGTAGGAGTGGCCCCGTAACACGCTTGTTTCTTCTGCCCTGAGCCCTCTCACGTTGTGAGGGTCTTGCTCGGGTGGAGCTCCAATCACCTTTCGATGGCCTGGTGGGAGTACATTTTCCTACGGCCTCCGCGTTGTGTCCCACTAGCGAGGTCCTAAGGGACGTAGCACCATGACGTAGAATTAATAGTTACTTAATGTAACTTAAGTTCTACGAATAGGTGCGTAGTCCCTTAGCTACAAGCCCATCAGGCCAGCCCGGCTTGGCAGAGTTCAAGAGGGAGTTCGGCCTTGTGCAGGGGCATTTATAGAGGAAGGTGGCTGGTGATTGGAGCAAATTATTTTGATCTCTCTGGCGCGTGACCTGGGGGTCACGAGGGATATCCCACTAGCGAAGTCCTAAGGGACTACGCACCTATTCGTAGAACTTAAGTTACATTAAAGGTATATAGGAGGATTTTCTACTTCCGGGTGGATCATTAAGACTATTGGTCCTCCCAACTGTCAATCATTCTGGTGACACGTGCTCGTCCAATAAGACCAGAGAGTTTGGTTTGAAAAGTGGAGAGGGCGGTTCTTTCCTAAAACCTGGGAAAATCCTCCTATACACCTTTAAGTAACTATTAATTCTCTGTGCGCAAAGGTGCCAAAGCTGTTGCAGGTATTGCTCCGCTGTCTCGGCTCTGATCTAGTAGAACGCATAGCTACACTTATGAAAGGTATGCGGATCGAAAGAGCTGTTATTTCAAAGAACGTGGAATATTTTGAACTACACGGTTAACCGGTTTCAACTGGTTAATGAGGCTTGGTGGTCGGTCATGAAAATTCATAGTTTTTTACATCCCTAGTTCTAAACCGCACAAGTGTGCAACTTTGGCGGACCAGGGAGAGACGGATGAGAGTATGGATGATGCGTATGAATGGAATTGGGTAAAAGGTGTGCGAGTGTGAAATGGCAGCAGTAGAACACTCCATTGACTTGAATGTAATTCTATCAATCATTTTTTCTTGATAACAGAACTCTCAAATCAGTAATGACCGCTGCCCTTCGACAATGCAATCTCCGTTTGTAATTCAGGTGTGTAAAATACTGCCATAACTCTGCAAGACAACGAGAGAAGCTAGCGGAGCTAGCCGAGCTAGCCACGCTCAATAAACCACTACATATCTATCAATCAACACCATTAAATGTTAATCAGACAATACAGTATACATATACATCCTTAACACACATGCACGGACTTTTTCAGAATTTCTTGTTATCGTTTTCATGACCAAATTACTATTTTAATGTGACAAAAAGCAATCGCGAAAAACCCGGAAGTAACCATTAACATGTAGTTCCGGGGAGCTAGCTAGCTTAGCTGTTACCTGCCTAGCACGTCCCGGTGAAACCTTTGGGAGCTAACAATTTTATTTCCAGTTATTGAATACATTTCGAATTATAAGGGCTGTCTAATATGTGTTCAAATATATATATATTTTTTATTTTAGAATTATATTTGAATTTCGAAGCCGAAGCCCTAGTGTTTAGCAGCGCTGTAGGGGCTAGAGGACGCAGGCTGTTCGCTGCTCGTTCTGTGAGTCGAGAACGAGCGGCCCGCTCAGACTCCACTCAGCACTTTTCACTGCTTGTAATTCTTACACAGCTGAATCAATTACCTCAAGTTTTCAATGAAATTACGGATTATAATACAACTTGTATGTAGTAATAAGCGTTTTTATCAACTAGTTAGAAAAAAAATCGGGTATAGCTTTTTTAATAACAAAAATGTGTATTCAAATTCACATTTGCTTTAAGTAATTGATGTATGTGTCTGGATATTGGATGAAAAGTGAAAACCTATTTGTTGTCTTTGTCAGGTGTGTGGCATAACTTCATGTTGTGCGTGGCGGCGTTGGCATTCCTCTTCTTGTTGCCAGTGTTTTTGTTCCCAGTTTACACCACTGGAGCTGGAGCGCTGGTCACTGATGTGATTCAGGTCAGGCCTTTTACACTTTTAATCATGTAACAATCACCACTTCTACTTGATTTATTGTAAATATTTGTAGTTTTGCATCAATCTAGTGACAAAAAGGTGTCAACAAATGTTTAAAGTACAGAAATGAGATATAAAGTGGAATTTCACTACCGGAAAAACCTCTAATTTAGTATTTTGTGATTTCCCCTAAACTGTTTGTGTGCAGGGCTCCGCTGCAGATGGTCCAAGAGGTCTCTCGGTGGGAGACATAGTGACTGGGCTGGAGGACTGTCCAGTTAGAGGGGTGGAGGACTGGGCCCAGTGTTTGTCTCATGTGTCCCACTTTCCACAAAGCGGATACTGTGTCCCCACCGCCAGCCTGCAGCCCAGCTGGGCCCACGGCCGACGTGAGTCACACAAAACCCCAAAGAACTAGACAAATGATAGTGGGCCAATAATAATTCAAACTGAATAATATCGAATCTAGGATGATTATTTGTCATATACTATATATATTTACACTTTTTTAATATTTCAACCATTTTATACGGCATGGTGGCGGAGTGGATAGCATTCTCGCTTCTCAGCAAGAAGGTCCTGGGTTCGAATCCTGGTCGGAACAGGGCCTTTCTGAGTGGAGTTTGCATATTCTCCTTGTGTCAGCGTAGGTTTCCTCTGGGTGCTCCGGTTTCCCCTACCACTAAAAACATGCACAATAGGTATGAATGTACATGAGTGAGTGAATGGATGGTGTTGATTGGGAGCTGATGCGCCAGTCTGTTCGGCGACTCGCTTCAGTCATCACCGTGTTTGGAATAATTGGAACAATATCTGAACTCTGAACATTGTAAAGCGCTTTGGATGACCTTGGTCTGTGAAATGCGCTATATAAATAAACATTACTTTACTTACTTATACAACATTGAAATAACACATTGACTGACTGCTTATATTATATTGTGGCCATACTTGCATGTGAAAGCCAGATCCCATCAGACCTCTGTTGTTAACCCATTGAGGCCGGGAACGCATTCCTGCGTAGCTACCTTTCAAGCCGGGAGCGCTGTTGCGCACTTCTACCTTTAAAGGCCGAGATAGCGGACATGTCTTTTTTTTTTCTTTTATTGAGCTATTCTCTTCATTGATCAATTCTCTTGACCAATAAAATGCATCAAGATATATACCTGTGATGAGAATTATCTGCGGATCCGTGAATTCCGACTTTTTCTTGCTGAAAATATAATTTCTGTGAAGTGTGTGACCACGGGCAGTTGTTTGCGTTACGTACTCGAACCGGATTAACATCCTCCGTTCTGACCCCGGGAGCAACTGTGGCCACTTTGACACAGCTCAGCGGACGTGCAGCCATAACGTGGTCATGTACCACGGACCATAGACGCGCAATCAGGACCAATAATGTAAAATATTCATCGTGTTCTTTAACTTAAGTATTAAAAACACTCTCAGTCTACAACAATACACAACAATTTAATTTTGCCCTTAAACCCATGGATAATGTCAGCTGTGGTCCAGAGGAGTCGTCAAATGGCTTATACATTATTATAATGTAGCTGGATTGCGCGCGGAGGCACGGCCCCAGTGTGCGCGGAGCAGTGGCGGGGCCAGAGGGGTAGCCAGGGTGGCCACTGCCACCTCTAAAAATACCCTTGCCACCCCCAGTGCCCCCCTCGGAAGACGGCAATGTAATAATGTTAATCTTGAGAATCTTCCGTACTTGTTCAGTTTGTAGTACATTTAGTGTGTGTGTGCGTGCCTGTGTGCGCGCTTGTGTGTGCCATCGTGTATCTGCGCGCCTGTGTGTGCCATCGTGTGTCTGCGTGCGTGTTTATCCGTGCGGGTGTGCATGCGTGTGTATTCTCCATTAATAATTGCCCATCGTATCATCGCCCTCTTCCCTTTAGTGTAAACATTAAACGAAAAGGAGTAGACATTGCGTCTTTTTATTGTCAAGAAAAGGCCTGTAGATCAGGATGATGAAACCTGAAGGTCAGACTCGGAGGCAGTATGTTTTGAGATGATGAGGAATTTGTTGTGTTGTATTAAAGTATAGCTTATACAATTCAGTTTCAGAGAATGAGAGGGAGTCGCAGACAGGTGTAGGATTGACTATTGGCAGAATTAGAGAGGCGTTTTTTCACACACAAAAAAAGAATGTGCAGTCGCTTGACCCCAAAACATTTTTGAAAGAAGAGCCCCTGTTTTCATTTGGCAGAACCTTTCAGTCAGATATAGAGGACGTTAAGCATGAAGTACGTCAAACTTGGCGGCTTCTTGGGAGGAAAAAATTGATTAGAGAGTCCTCATTGGACTTCCTTGTCCTTTTGGAACGTTTGGAAAGTGTTTCATGAGCTTTTGAGGCTTGCAAAGATCTTTTTAATACCTGTCAGTACTGCGTCTTGTGAAATAAGTTTCTCTGCCCTAAATCTTATTAAAGACCATCTCAGAACGACCATGGCAGATGATTGAGTCATCTTGGTATCCTCAGGGTAGGGTAAAGGAGGGCTCAGGGCTCAATATGGATGAGTTTGTCAACATCTTTGCTGCTTTACACCAGAACCACAGGAATTTGCTAAATTTGTTAAAAGAAAAATGAAATGCAATGTTTGAATGTCATTTAGCACTTTTTTTGTTCAGACTACTGTTTAAATACACTTTTTTGCTTTGTAGTTTCCAAGTGTGCTCTCAGTTCACTTTGTATAAAAAATAAACATAAGATTAAGATTAAAATGTATCGTTTAGCCAGTTTTTGTGTGAAATAAAATTTTTGAATAGTATAAATGTGGACCCCTTAAAAAAAACCTTGCCACCCCCTGGCCACCCTCTGTTTAAAAGTCTGGCTCCGCCACTGGCGCGGAGGCACGGCCCCAGTGTGTGCGGAGGCACGGTACAAGGGTGCGCGGAGGCACAAATGCAGCGACTTCCTCATAGTCTGCCTGGTTCTTTCTCCGGACAAGATGCATTTTCTTGCATATTCTTTTTTTAAAGAATATGCAAGAAATATAATAGGATGCTGATGTGCTACAAGATTAAGAATCTCCTTGTTTGTGAAACCTATTCTGATATTCTCCACGGCCCTCATTTTACCAACTGTCTTCAACAAATGTATGCCTACGTATATGTTATGACTTTATTCTAGCTTAGTCATGCCCTTGTCTTCCCCTTTTACCCGTTTCTGCAAGGTTTGAATGTTTAGCACCGCCCCCCAACTCGCTCAATGGCTTCTCATTTCCCCTACCCTCTCATAACACAGAGCCTTCTAGCTCAATTTGCGATCTGATATGTATGCTAACATTAGCATTAGCGCAACTTCTTGTAAGCTGTTCAACAATCACTGAAGAAATGGTACTAAAGCAACGCACTGCTAACACAATATATAGGTAAAAGAATACCGCTAGTTTCGCATCCGAATGTATTCATTTAACATTAGAATATATTAGAATATTTAATTATAATTTATTATAGAGTTCCTCACAGCATCAGTAGAACACTCCATTGAGTTGAATGTAATTCTACCGATCATTTTTTCTTGAAAATAGAACTCTCATACCATTAATGACCGCTGCCCTTTGGCAACGCAATCTGTTTGTAATTCAGGTGTGTAAAATACTAACATTACTCTGAAAGTACAACAAGCCTTCAGCGCCTGTCACTACACCGAGCAGCTTATCAACGCCATTAAATGTTAATCGGACAATACAGTATACATATACATCCTTAACAGACATGCACAGACGTCTTCAGAATTTCTTGTTATTGTTTTCATGACAAAAACTATTTTAATGTGACAAAAAGCGATCGCAAAAAACCCGGAAGTAACCATTAACATGAAACGAACATTTTAGGACACATTTGAAGAGGATCTGGTGGATTTAGGTTCGGTATATAAATGGGTAACTCACCGCTGATGTTCAGAATTCTTTGTTCAGTTTTCATGTAGTTCCAGAGAGTTTTTGAACTAGCTAGCTTAGCTGTTACCTGCCTAGCACATCACAGTGAAACCTTTGGAAGCTAACTATTTTATTTGCAGTCATTAAATAAATTTCGAATTATAAGGGATGTCTAATATTTGTTCGTGTATATATATATACATTTTTTTAATTTTTTAATTATATTCGAATTTTGAGGCCAAAGCCCTAGTGTTTAGCAGCGCTGTTGGGGCTAGAGGACGCTAGAGAACGAGCGTCCCGCTCAGACTCTACTCAGCACTTCTCATGGCCGTAACTAATACACCACTGAATCAATGAGCTCAAGTTTTCAATTAAATTATGGATTATAATACAACGTGTATGTAGTAATAAGCATTTTTTTTAACTACTTAGAAAAAAAATTGGGTATAGCTTTTTTAGTCCATTTCTGGGTGGGGGTGGCAATCAGAGCTGCCACCCAAGTCTCAAAGCACCTGATCCTCCTGCAGGTGGTGGGTCCAAAGGAAGCTTCTCTGTCATTGACGAGAGTGCCTTGGTCTTTCAGCAGGGGCTTCAGGCAAAGTGGGGTTAAGTGTCTTGCCCAGGGACGCAACAGCAGACATCAGTGGGAGCAGGTGACATGGGTCTTGATGGGCTTGAACCCACGACCGTTAGGTCCCAAAGTCTAGTGCTCAACCAACTGAGCTACTGTAAATACAACTTTAATAATAATGATTTAATTATGACTTTAATCTTGTAAATACTGTGCTCTATCGTATTGAGATATTCCATTTGTATGGGGACTGAACCCACGCGAGTCAGGTGACATGGATAATTATTTAAGACAACCACCTGAGAGGTGGCGGATTGCGCTATAAAAGCACCCATGTGTCAAGTGCACATTGATCATTTCGATTCCACGTTGGCAGGTTGACGAACGTCCGTCCGTCCGTCCGTTTTCCTCCGCTTCATCCGTTGCCGGGTCGCGGGGGCAGCAGTCTAAGCAGAGATGCCCAGACTTCCCTATCCACACACACTTCCTCCAGCTCGTCCGGGGGGACCCCAAGGCGTTCCCAGGCCAGCTGAGAGACATAATCCCTCCAGCGTGTCCTAGGTCTTCCCCGGGGCCTCCTCCCAGTGGGACGTGCCCGGAACACCTCCCCAGGGAGGCGTCCAGGAGGCATCCGGAACAGATGCCCGAGCCACCTCAACTAGTTCCTCTCAACGTTGAGTAGCAGCGGCTCTACTCCGAGCTCCTCCCGTGTGACCGAGCTCCTCACCCTATCTCTAAGGGAGCGCCCAGCCACTCTGAGGAGGAAGCTCATTTCGACCGCTTGTATCCGCGATCTCGTTCTTTCGGTCACTACCCAAAGCTCATGACCATAGGTGAGGGAGGGAACGAAGATTGACCGGTAAATCGAGAGCTTTGCCTTTCGGCTCAGCTCCCTCTTCACCACGACGGTCCAATACAGCGACCGCAT